CAAGACTATATTTGCAAATTTGAGCAACAGATTTAATAATAAAAATAGGTAATAGAACAACTGTTGCTAACTTTTATATTCTTGTTTTGAAAAGTTATATAATTGTATATTACTCTGTTTCTATCTTTATACCTGTTGTCTGTTATTGCTTTTGATTTTACTCTTCAAAATAAAATAAAATGAAAGAAATTTTGATATAAAACAAATGAGGAGTTTGAAATGATGTATGTCAGATACTTTAAAAAAAAAACCTTGTAACCCAGATTGATGTACCCTGAAAAACTGTATCATAATTATTGGAGAAATAAGGTACTTCCATAACAAACAACAACTGAATAAATTCATCACCACCAAGCCAAACCTTTTATGAAGAGAAAAAATTGAGCACAATTTCAAGAACAACAGACAGTTACCACCAAGCACAGCAAGTGATTGAACATTGGGAAAAAATATGGAATCTATGACAGACAAATAACATAAAAATGATAAGCCAATGCATATCAGTGAAAAAACATCAATATAAATTGTCTCAATTCAACAATAAAAAGAAACACACTACAAGATCAAATCAAGTATGCTGTATATACAAAACACATATATCTCAAAAGGAAATTCATACACTGACAATCAAAGAATGGAAAACAATATTCTATGACATAGGAACTCAGAACAAGCAGGGGGAGTTATTCTGATTGCTTAAAATGTCAATTTCAAATCAAGAATGATCAAAAGAGATCAATAAGTTCACTGTATATTTATAGGGGAAAACTGCAAGAGGAAGAGATAGCAATCATAAATATATATGCACCTTACACAGAAGCACCCAACTATATAAGACACATTTTAACAGATATGAGAAGTCAAATGAAGAGTAGCACCATTGCAATGGGAAACTTTAGTGGGTCATTCTCAGAAAGAGATAAATGAACTAGTCAAAATGTGAGCAAAGAAATAACATAAGTAAATCAAACTTGTGAAGAGATGGATTTAATAGAGCTTCTCATATTGTTCAACCCAAAAGCACAAGAATACATTATCTTCGCAATGGCACATGGATACAACATGTAATAGCACATAGAGCATGCGTTAGTGAATGTCAAGGAATTTAAATTATCTCATTCATATTATCTGACCATAGTGCAATGAAACTGGAAATTATTGAAAAAAGAAATTGCGAAAATTCCATAAATACGTGGAAAATAAACAACACCCTACTGAAAATCAATGGTCACACATTAAAGAAGACATTAAACAATATCTTCAATCAAAGGAAAATACTGATACAACTTACAAGAACCTACGAGCACAATGAAAGCTCTCTCTCTCTCTCTCTCTCTCTCTCTCTCTCACTCTCTCTCTCTGAAATCAAACTCAGGACTTTCTACTTGGCAGGTCGAAATTTATGCTATTGAGCTGTATCTCTAGCTCCATAAAAGTAGTGTTAAGATGGAAATGTACAGCACTAAATTCTCACGTCAGGAAACGAGAACAAGCTCAAATAAAATCTTTATTGTACATCTCAGGTTTCTAAAAAACAAGAGCAAGACAAGGGGCCGATGGTAAAGCTCAGTGGACTAAGAGCTTGCTTAGGTAACGCAGGGGTCAGCGTTCAATTCCTGGCATCGCATGCCATCCTGACCCAGCTCTTGGGTGTGCGGAGCCTGTGATGGAGTCCAGGGGTGGTGGCACGAGCCTGTAATCCCAGCACTAGGGATGCAAAAATCAGGTACGCTACGAGTCTGAGCTGTGTAGTGAGACCATGCATACAAAAAAGAAAAAAGAAGAGCAAGACAAGCACAAATCTGAAAGAAGGAGGGAATTTATAAATATCAGAGTAGAAAATAGCAGAGTACAGGTAAAGAAAGCAATACAAAAAATGAAAGAACTGAAGAGTTGGCTCTTTGAAAGAATGAATAAAATTGATAAACCTCTAGCCAGCCTGAACAAAAAGAGGAAAGAAAAAAAATTAAATTCATGCAATAAGGAATGAGCAGGGTGAAATACTACAGACTATATGGAAACTGAAAAAATCACCAATGCCTACTTCAAAAACGTTCATGCTCACAGGATAGAAAACAACAACAACAACAAAAAAAAAATTGAATGCATTGCTAGAAATATATGATTTGATAAAGCTGAATCAAGATGGTATAAAATTTTTGAATATCATATATCAGTCAATGAAATTCAAAATGTAATAAAATGCATACCAAAAAAGAAAACTCTAGGTCCTAATGCATTCACAGCTGAATTCTGTAAGAAAGGCAGAGATGATTTAATGCCAACTCATCTCAAACTCTAAAGTGACATTAAAAGGAAAGGATCTTTTTCCCAAAACCTAGGAAACAAGTATTATTCAGCTAACAAAACCAGAGAAAGATCAAGCAAAAAGACAACCATAAACCTATTTCCCTATTAACAGAAAAAAAATAATTCTCAATAAAACAATAGGAAACAGAATGCAGCAAATCATTAAGTTTATCCATCAGGACCAAGAGGGATTCATCCCAGAGAAGCGGAAATAGTTCAGCTCATGTAAATCAAGAAATGTATCATGCTACATCAATAGAGCCAAAGACAAAAGTCACATGAATATTATGATCATCTCAATAGATGCATAGAAAGCTTTTGATGAAGATCAACAATCGCACATGATCAAAAACCTGTAGAAAATTGTATTAGATACTCTATATATCATGATGATAATAGCCATCTACGAGAAACCAAAAGCCAGCATCATACTAAATGGGCAAAGACTTATAGCCTTCACTTCAAAAATCAGTAACACGACAATGATGTCCACTGTCACCACTCATATTCAATATAGTTCTGAAAACATTAGATAGAGAAATTAGACAAAAGAGAGAAATAAATGGAATAATGACTAAAAAGGAATAGGTGAAATTATAATTATTCACAAACCTACCATGACTTTACATAGAAGACACAAAAGCCTCCACCAAGAGACTTGTAGATTTAATAAACAAATTGAGTAGTGTAGCAGGATGTAAGTCAAAACTCAAAAATTAATAGAATTGCTCTACAAATCAGCAAACACACCAAGAGAAACTGGATGAATCCCATCTTTCACGATAACATCAAAAAAGATACTTGTTTATCAATCAGCCACAGAGGTAAATGATGTGTACATTGAAACTTAAAACACTCTAAAAAATAAATCAGAGAGGATTTCAAAAATGAAAACATCCTTATTCATGGTAGGAAGTACCAACCTTTTGAAAATGACCATACTCTCAAAATTGTTATACTCATTCAATATAGTCCTAATTAAAATACCACCAGTGTACTTTACTGATCTAGAGCAAACACTACAAAAATTCACCTGGAATCAGAAGAGACCTAGAATAGAAAAACCCATCCTTGGAAACAACAGAAAGGCAGGGGCCATCACAATCCCTGACTTGAAGTTATACTACAAGGATACTGTGATAAAATAAGCAACCTACTGGTAAAAATAGACCTAAGGATCAATAGAAAATATTAAAACTGAAGTTCCAACTAGAAACGCACAAAGCTATCTTAATTTTGATAAAAGAGCAAAATATATTTCCTGGAAAAAAGCCCCTTTAATAAATGGTGCTGAAAAAAGCTGATTTTCCACATGCCAAAAACTAAAACCGGACCCATGACTATCACCATGCACTAAAATAAAGTAAAGCTTGTCAAAGGTTTAAGTATTAAAAGAGAAACACTAAACACTGAAAGAAATTAGGTTGGTGGGAGTGTAAACTGGTGCAACCACTGTGGAAATCAGTATAAACATTCCTCAAAGGTCTAGGATTAGGAGTCCTGTTCTATCAAGCTGTTGTACCTCTGGGAATTTTTCCCAAAAATTTGAAAACACCATAACACAGCTATATATGTGCATCTGTGTGTATAGCAGACAATTTGTCATAGCTGAATGTTAGAAACAACCAAAATGCCCATCAATTAAGGAATGGAAGAAAAGGATGTGGCATTTTTATACAACAGATTTTTCCTCAGATATAAAGAAGTATAAACTTGAGACTTTTATTGGTACATAGATGTAATTAGAAACCATATAAATAAATGAAATGCATCACATAAACCTTTCTAAAGCTGGTATTGTCTCCCTAATGTAAGAAACTGAAAGAGTAAATATTGTCAGCATTTAAGAATGCATGTAGTGAAAGGGAAAGAATCTTATCAGGAAGAAATACCCTCTGGGAGAGGGGAGAAAGAAGGAAGGGAAGATAATAGTACTATTAATTTAGATTGGTTTTCTGAAATTAACAATTAATGCTTAATTGTTTGATCAATTTTGCATGCCTATATCTGAAAATCTGAACAACTACTTTGAAGATAGCAACAAGCAATGTAACACCCATTATCAATTTCCTATTATCTTATTTTGCAATTCTGTACCTTTTTTTAATCTTTTTATTACTTTTGCTGCGCTGGCCCTGCCCCTGTGGCTCACTGAGATGGCGATTGAGACTGGGTGTGGTGGTGCACATTTTAATCCCAGGGCTTTGAAGGCTGAAAACAGGAGGATCACTATGAGTCTGTTCTGCATAGTGAGACCCTGTAGACTGTGTACTAAATATGTAAAAATAAAATAAGAGTTATCTTCTTGATAATTATGATTCAAACATTTTAAAATTTTTTTTTTATTTATTTGGTACAGGGTCTCCTTATGCAGCTCTGAGACCTAGTGATCCTCCTTTTCCAAATTTCTCTCACCACCACCCAATGTTGGGGTTTCAGGTATGTCCCACCACTTCCAGTTTTCTTAGCCAGCAGGGCTGTCAGCAAGACATTTGGTAGCAAGGATCGACCCCAGGTCCTTGTGCTTGCCAGGCAGGCACTTAAACTGCAGAGCTATTTCCCCAGCCGATGACACAAATCTTGTATTTTGTGGAAATGATTTTAATGTTCTTGGTTGAAGCCCACAGATCAACCTGAGAGAGGTACCTTGCTTACACTGCATGCCATCCACGAGAAGACATGTTACTTGCCAGTGGGAAAACATTGTAATTTGTCCATTTCTCATTGGCAGCCTTTGTACTTCTTCAGAAAACATTGCCTGAAGAGCATGGGCCACAGCGTACTCTGCATTATATATATTGTAGCTCCCATCACTAATTTCTACCTCAACACGATTCAGAGGCAACCAAACCAGAGAGGCATTAGGTGTGCAGTTCTGCAAGGCACAGTCAGACTCAAAGAATGAGCAATCAAAATTCTTGGACCAGTACATAAAGAGGTAAGTGTATTCTGGGTATTTGAAAGGGGTAGCTGCCTGGATAAAATTTTTGAAACCTGAAATTTCCTCGTGGTGGTGTGAAAAAACAAGAATCCCATGGAATGGGTCCAGTATGAAGTCTTTCCCAGCCAGGTCTGCATGCCAGTGTGAGTTGGTTACCAAGACTTTCCAGGTCACTAAGTGTTGTATTATATTGTAGTTTACATCATATCGACTATCAGTATCACAGTAAATGACCAGCACATTGGCAGACGATGTATCTGTGGTCAGAATATCATGTTTCTGTGTGACTGGGAGATAAGACACAGCCACAGTTGACACCATTTTCACAAAGGCCAGACAGACTCTGTTCATGTCCATCTCAGCTCTTATATCTGAAAGAAACTGAACACCCTTATGGCTCTCTGTGATGAGCAGGCCCACCCAGGTCCAGTGGAAATTAAGCAACAAGTACACCATGGTAAGGACCAGATATGTGTCCTTTGGGGCCACTTGATGGAGAGAAGGATACTGGCTAGTGTCCATCTGTTCAGGATCAAATGAGCCAAAGGTAACCTTAAAGGAAAAAATAGAATAGCACAGTACACTGAAGTGTTAATGGAAACCATAGTAGACTTGAAGCATACTTTGCAAAAATTGTCAGTCATATAAGGAGACAAATGTTCTGATCTTTCTTTCCAATCATCTCACTCCTTAAACTCTTTTTATAAAATGTAAAGTAACATAGTCAGACACCCAAGACATGACTTTGTTTTTATTCTCTAATGAAGAAAAATAAATTGTGTTAAATGTATAAGAATCTATGTACAGAATCTAGTGCATTATACACTTTAATTTATGCTAATCCCAGTCTCATTTTTAACCTTTTATACTCCTGGTATGTGAGGCTTATGGATGTGCTTCCACCATTTCCTTTCCCACAAACCCTCACCTGTGGAAATCTGCAGAGTTCCAGCAGTGGTCCAATCTGAGCTGAGGCATCCCATGGCAGTTCTGTCATTACTGCTACACACTTGCTTTTTCTTCTACATGTGTAATTAGGGATCTTGTATTGTCCTGATAACAAAATGAAGGGATTTTCTAGCATCCCCCAATGGCTGTAAATCAAATTATGGAACTCATAACCCAAAGTAATGTTGGGTAAAAGATGAGGATTCCTGTTGATCTCTTCTATGGCAAAAATGAAGGCCAGGTAGTTCTGGTAGTTGCTGAGCATACGCCTGCATAGAGAGCACAGAGGTTTGTAAGGGAAAGGCTCAAACAATGATTATCTCCCAATCTAGTTCAAAACTATTTATGATACAAATGCTTGTGTTCCTCCTCCACAGTCATATCATTAGAACCTGAAAATGAATGTTGTCACACTCTATGTTTAATTTTTTCTACATAATTAGCATTAGGTGCATCATGGGCATGAATTTCTCAGAAAGGAATTTAGTGGCATTACAAGATTGAAAGAAGAGTTGTTTCACGGTTATGCTATGTGAGGGCTATTGACAATACTGTCACTTATAAACTAGGGAACGGATTCTCTCTTGATTTTCCTCAGCCTATGCAACTATTAGAATTGGATGATTATTTATTTACACATGTGTTGTTCATCCATGTTTCTGCAGCGGGCTTGTAAAAGCAAAATATAACAATTTGTGACTTTCCTATCAAAGTAGACCACAAATTCTTAAAAATTAAAGTAAACATAATGTGTGATAATTAAATTTATTTTCTTGTTTGTACTAAGTATACTTTACTGTCAGTTTTCAGATAACTTCTAGGTTGCCTTCTAAGATTATAAATTGATTTTTGCTTTTTTATTTGACTCTATCCTTGTACTTGTGTGAGTTACGTTGTCTAACGTGGTTGGAGAGCCTGCCCACCAGAAAGCACAGGTGACGACCCTATGATGACTCCTCAGCTCACATTTATGAAATGAGAGAAGCCAGTGTGGAGCTCATCAATCCTACTGTTTCACTAACAGCCTTGGAAGGTTCCCTTTCACAGTGAAGTAGAAAAGTTTAAAGAGATGTTGCATCACATGTAGATGAAAATTGATAAATAAAACAATTGTGTCAAAACACTTCATATGCCCTTCAAAATGTGATCCATACAAATTAGATGTGAGGAAGAACTAAAAATATAAAGTCATCACTATCAACCAATTTAACTTAATTTTGGGTTATCTGCATTTGAAGAGAAAGGAAAGAGCAAGCATGTTCATAATTTCATTTACCTCTTGGATATCGCCAGAGAAAGACTTCAGATTGTGGTTTTGTATGAGGTGCTCCATTAAGATTTTTTAGGGGGTCAGTGAGATAACTCAGAAGACTAAAGTAATTGCTTAGGCAAGCTTAGGCAATCACAGGGACCGCGGTTCAAAGCCCAGAAACACATGCTATGCCAGCCCTGGCCCGCTGAGTGGGCCATTGTGACCTGGCATGGTGGCACATACCTGTTATCCCAGCTCTAGGAAGTCTCAATATTGAAGGATCACTATGAGTCAGACCTGTTTAGTGAGACTCTCTACCATTTTTTTCTTTTTTAAAAGAATACATCTTTGTAAAAAAAGCATTACAGTAGCCAGAGGCTATCAGACATAAAATGTATAACAATAGCATGATAATAAAGGGTCACTTGTTAAACAGGAATTTTGTTGTGGTGAAATGACCTAAACTACACTGTGATAGCAATAACAATAACACTGTATACTTAAATATCTATTTAGAAATTGTGTATAATACTCACTTGGATTAAGTTTACATGTATGGATCACAAACACAATTAATAAATTTAAAATTGTATACCTAGAAAATAGAGCCAAGCAATTAATATAAATTATAAAATATATGCAGAACCAAAGACAATTTTGCATATAAGCAGTCAAAGAAACATCCACAGAGATAGGTTTTGGTCAGCGATAGACTTTCTGATCCAGTAGCACATCAGATGGTAGAAAATTTAAAATACTCATTGGTGAATAGAACGCAAACACACACACACACACACACACACACACATCTCTCATGAAATTTCAAAACATACTAAAAGATTTTGACAGTGTAAAAAACAATAATTGCTGTGATAATTACTGTTATGTTGCATAGATATGTAGGACCGCTGACCAGCAAATAGTTGTTAAGATCTCCAGAGATCTGGTCAGAGAGGCAAGAGAAAGAACTGGTATGCTCTGAGGTGCTTGAAAGCATTGCATTTCTTGAAAATTAATAAAAAGAAAGAACATGAGCACACAAAATAAGTTTTCACGTCAAAAGTAGGCAGAACAGATAATTTTAAAATACAGAAAGTAATAAAAAGTTAGGAATGAAGAATATAATAAAAGAAAACTAACAAGAAAATTTGTTTCTATTTTAAGATCAATAAAAAAAAGGATTAGGCCAGGGAGAAGGCTCAGTAGAATAAGTGCTTCCCTGGCAAGCATAAGGGCCTGAGTTCAGTCTCAGGTTCTACCAAAAAAAGAGAAA